TGTTGAAGCGCTATTGATAGCTTTTTGGCTCAACAGAGAATATTTCTATAGAGTAGAAAACTTTTTCCCCTTGGGAAGGTCTTGGGATTTTCCCCTTGAGGAACACAGAATACATGTAATTGACATTCACTTTAAGTGTGTTTACACATGGTATGCTAGTCTTCATTTCAAAGATTTCAGAGATGCTCATTCCCATGTGAATGCAATTCTCTGCCTTTAAGAGAAAAGCACAGAATAAAAATGTTGGGACTATCTGTGGAAAAAAAGAAAAGATTAAGGAATGTACTTTGCATTTCAAGAATTTGTAAGAATAAAATAGAATAAATGCAAATTTCAGACAGTTTGCCTGTTGTGAAAGAAGCTCTCACAACTGTGGACATCAAATAATCCCATATTGTTTTCAGCTAGATAAATTGTTCTCCTCTTAATGATTCAGCTGGAGTTGAGTCAATTGAGTTGCCATACAAGGAAAAGGGCTCATCCAAAATTTCATTCTATTGTAGTGGAATGGACACTGTATTTGTATTTTGAACAAATACTGACCATGCAGCTATGTTTCCATATTCAGATATATATATATATATCCTTTTACATTGTTAGGTTTTTTGTGATTGAAATCACCATGCAGTAACACAATAAAAGATTAACATATGAATGGCTTTGTAAATGACTCTAGTTTTTCAGGAAATGCAGTACTATGGCACAGCAACATCACTTAAAAAAGCTTATTTATAATAAGGCAAATTATACCAACCCCTCCAGCTTCAGGATTGAAATGGAAATTTAAGCAAAGTAAGATGGATTTGCCCTGCCTGAATTTTGTCTCTCCTTAGCTTATGACATTGCATTATTATATTTGTTTTCATTGTGATCGCATGCAGAAAACTAGGTGATAAATTGGGGTCCTATTTGTGGTAGGTGCTATATAAACAGGAATGAGAAGAAAGTCTTTGACCTGAAGGGTTTTTAAGAAATGACAACAGACAATCCAGAATCAAAAGGGCAAGGAGATACTGTGGCAATTCTGGTTAGAATTGTAGGCTGTTACCTTAGTCCAGTGGCTGCCTAAATGTTGTCTAGTTGCTTCATGTTTTCTTTTGAATTTGTTTTTAAGGGCATCACAACAAAGTACTCTAGAAAAGGAAGCAGTAATGTAATGGAAAGAAAGCTTAACTCTAAGCATGGAGCAGCTTCTTTTGAAGTCAAGTGTATGGGAGAGGAATAGCATTGTGGAAGCAGCAGAGACAGGAACAGAGCTTTCCTTCTGGTTTGAAGCTGACAAGTACCTTTACAAAGGGCTTTGAAAACAAAGGTTAGGAGAAATAGATAAAATAGATTGGTGTTTATAAGGTAGTAACATGTTATAATGCTGGAGGAAGAAGATACTCTTTTCATCAATTTTTGGGGGTTGTGTAGAACAGAGGAGATTGCTTTCTAATGAAAAAACACTATACAAACAACACCAATCTGCAGAATGAGAATGGGCAAGTTTGTGCTTGTGTCTGTTGGCAAAAACCACAGCTCTAAAGAAAAAGTTTCCTAAATTGGGGTCCCTTTGTCAGCGGTCATAATAATAAAGGTTATAGGAAGACAATTTACATGAAGGTTTCTAATTAAAACCAAATGCACATTTATGAATATTTCCTGAACTTCATGTAACTCTATAATTTTCTTTTTTTCCACCAGTGAAGTAAAGGAAAAGATGGATTTGCTTACTACTTTGACTAATTTGCACCCTTGTTCAATTTACTGGTGTTTTTTCAATTGATAGAAAATATGCTCTTTTTAATTTGAATGGTTGGTGGTATGTTTTAGCCTTACATTGGTTTTATACAAAGGAAGAGGTTGTGTGTTCACTTTGGAAACACATTTCATTCAGTTTACATTTGATTTTATCTGTAACTTGTCTCTTTCTACTCTATATCTTTGCAAAGATACGAACAAGATGACAGATTTTGTAAAGCACTTAGTGCCTTTTTCTTCTTGTTGACACTGAGTACTGTGAAGGGCTGAGCCCTAGGAAGAAGAGGGACACCTTGTAGTCAGTAAAGGAGCAAGTAGAATAAAAGAAGTTTTTTTGTACTAAACTCAGCTGTTTATAAAAAGGGGCACTTTGCTCCAGTGCCTTCCAACTTGGTCAGTCATAGCTCAATGAAAAGCAAGCTATTTGCTGAAACAGCAATATAGGCCAAAGTAGAAATATATGCCACACCTTTTGCTAATGTGACAACTCTGAAAAGGTCTTCCATTTAGAGATTACCTAGATCAAATGCTAGAACAACTATTTGTGATATGGTCATTGTCTTGGGTCATAGGGCTGTGGTCAAAATAGTTTGAAGCAAAGCAATGGGAAAGAAGAGCTAAAAATAATCTGCAGTACAATATATTATTTTTGTCCAATGCCCTCCCCATGTCCCAAAGACCCCAAACCAGCTCTTCCCAAAGAACGTAAAGTTTTTTAAAAATGAGCAGATGTGAGGACTTGACGTCACCTCAGTTGAATGAAATGGAGGGTCTGTCTCTGTGTAATGAAATCAAGGCGGACAGCAATAGGAAGCAATTATTGAATAATAAGGTCACAGTTTGTTTGGGTTGTATTCATGCTTTGCAAAGAATCCTCTGTCCTTCCTATGGCAGTATAAAGGATTTCTTTACACCTTGGTATCCAGGGAGTTTCTCATTCTGTGTTAGCAGAAATGGTAAACATAAATTAACAAAGGCAGTTTGCTGTGTTTCATTTTCTACTGCATGATAGACTGGGCGAAGACACAGTAAAAATCTTTCTGAATTCAGAGAAGATATGCACATAAATAGCCATTATTTTCAATTATTTAGTGATAAAAAAAATTATCACAATTTCGAGACAGAGGACTCCAAGGCACATTTTGACTCAAATATTCTCAGAAGAATAGGGTACCAAGACAGTGCTCTGCTCCAGATGTTTTCATGGCATAGCTGGCTGCAGTGCTGGCTGCCAGCAAACTCAAAGTTGCTGTGTGGAACTTTAGAATCATAGAATCATAGAATTAACTGGGTTGGAAGAGACCTCCAAGATCATGAAGTCCAACCCTTGATCCAGCCCCACTGTGATTACTAGATCATGGCACTCATTGCCACATCCAGCCTCATCTTAAAAACCTCCAGGGACGGTGAATCCACCACCTCTCTGGGCAGCCCATTCCAATGCCTGATCACTCTCTCTGTAAAGAACTTCTTTCTAATATCCAACCTAAACCTCCCTTGACAGAGCTTAAGCCCATGCCCTCTTGTCCTGTTGCTGATTGCCTGGGAGAAGAGACCAACCCCCACCTGGCTACAACCTCCTTTCAGGGAGTTGTAGAGAGTGATGAGGTCACCCCTGAGCCTCCTCTTCTCCAGGCTAAACAACCCTAGCTCCCTCAGCCTCTCCTCACAGGACCTGTTTAATCCAAAGTTCATCAAATATCTCTTCATGGTGTTAAGAAGCTATGAACTACCTGCCAGGAACTGCAAATTAGCCATAAAGGATATCTGGGATCACAACTCTATTTTCCAGTAGTCCCTTCAGTGACTATTTGGGTATAAACTAACCCTTGGTATGTATTTAGACCCCTGCTAATACCCATACATATTTAAATGTCTATATGCATGTATATGTATCTAGATGCTTGGATATGGAGTTTTATCACAGTGATAGGCATCTAAGTTAGAGTTCTCAGCCTAATCTCACTGTATAGCTAACAGAGAAAAATAAACACCTCAGAGTGTGATTTAATACACATGAAATCTGAATCACTCTTTGAAAGTATATCTCCACTGACTAAAAGGACCTGAAGATGGATGAAGTTATGTACCTGAAGAATGAATCTCTCCTGACTCCTTGCTTCTTGTAAAATTTTCCTTTAGATATTAAAGAAGAATATTTTTCCCAATTCTCAAAACTTCTGCAGGTTTAGAAAAAAACGCAGCCATTTCAAATCACATTGAAAATAAAACCAAAAAAATTGAGAAAGCTAAAAAAACCTTACGAGGCAAAGCAACCTTCCAAATTACTGTCCCTTAGACAAACTGAAATACTCTGTTTAAGGTTTAGTTTTTAATGAAAACATTAAAACATAATTTACTTACATTAAAAAAAAAAATCTAACAAAAACATTAAGGTATCCCTAATAAATTTTTCTCAAGGTATACTTGCCCTTTCAGCATGTACATTTTCTTGTGGAAAATTTCAATTTTTATCACTTCCTGCAATGCTGTTGTTTAATAAAATAATTCCTGATCAGAGTCTATCTCTGTTTGTTTACTTTACTTTGCTGTAGAGTGATATTTCCATTCTCTGTAATTCTTCCTGTTTTTATTGTTAGGGATATGAAATTAGCAATTCCACAAAGGTTTGTATGTAATCATATTTTATGAGACAGTTTTCCAAAATGCAGTATAGAGCAGCAGCTTCCAACTATGGATGGGGAGATGTTTACTTTATGTAAGAGTTTAATACTTTCAGGCCATTGGGAGTAATTTCTGCTTCACTTTATGGAGATGCATGTATTCCTCTGAGGAGGACTGGGGGCTGTCCTAGACTAGGAAAGCTGTGGTGGTGGACAGGAAAGAGCCCTGGGCTTCAGAAGCTGTGGAAGGAAGGAAATGCTAATTGTGCATGTGCTGGTACAAGAGGGAGGTGGAAGTACAGAGGTAGGATGTGCATTTGGGGATTTGCTGGGGGTATTTGGAGAAAAAAAGAGCAGAGTCATGGCTGATTCTGGGCTTCCACCACACTGGCTTGGAACGGGCACCTACAGCTGCAGGTTGCTGTGCCTCCTTCTGTCACCTCTGATGAATATGTATACAAATTGAGGTAGAGATTTAGAGAATGCAAATTTAAGAAAGATTACAAGCCCCTTGACATTTAAAATAAGAGCAAAACATGACATTATTTTAATCAAAAGTATGAAGTGATCTTGTACATCACATGTTGAATTTGAATACCTTTTAATTTGCGTCTGCATTTTGATCAATTTCAGGTACAAAGCAATTGTAAATCCCATGGACATCCAGACCTCCAGTGCAGTGCTATGGACCTGTCTTAAAGCCACTGCCATTTGGGTAATCTCCATGCTCCTAGCAGTTCCTGAAGCAGTGTTCTCCGAACTGGCTCACATCAATGACACAGATAATGCCACATTCACAGCGTGCATACCATACCCCATAACAGATGAAATGCACCCAAAGATCCATTCTGTGCTGCTTTTCCTTGTGTATTTCCTTGTCCCTCTTGTGATTATTAGTATCTACTACTATCATATTGCAAAGAGTTTAGTAAAAAGTGCTCACAACATCCCTGGAGAATACAGTGAGCATTCCAAAAGACAGGTAAGCAATTTGCTTTTTACATCCTGTTGTAAGATTTGTGTGCGGTATACACTTACAAATGAAAGTAAAGGAATTATAACACCCAAATTGTTGGATTTTGCAGAGGATTAGTTCAGTTTCCACATGAACTAAGACAAGGATTATCTGAAAAATCTCCTCGTTTTCACAGTTACTCAGTATTAGGCACAGGATGTAAATTGATATGAACAAGGAAAAATATAAAATCAGTGCCATCAATGCACATTCCTAACAGTAAATGACATTGGTACATGTGCTTGTATGTGCAGTTAATGTAACCATTACTTGTGTTCATACTAAAGAATGATGTTTTTGTAGTTAATGCTAGTGGCTTCACCTATCTCTGTAGGCAGCCATTTTGGGAAAGAAATCTTTCATGAACGTTTGAGAATTGTCCCTCTTTTATTTGTGCTTGGAAATGAGAAAACTGACATAAGCAGGGAAAATTTACGTAAGGGATCTAAGGTCTTCTCAGACCAAGGAGTGCTGAAAAGATGAACACAGAGCATTAACGGATTATTTTTTTACTTTCTCAGTAGATCTTCCTTGGATATAATCCTGAACTCACACTTTTCTAGTATCCTTTGTGTTATAGGTGCTATAAAACTCTTTGTATAGATTCTGTATACCTTTGAGACAAAGCTTTTTAAAATGCTGGACAAAGCCATCTTCCCTGTAAGGCACAGGAAGCAATAGGATAGCAACATTAGCAGGAACACTTATATGTACGAACAACAGTTTTGCAGTGAAAGTGCGTTGACTACTTTGCAATAGCATTAACAGTGATAGAGAGAAATATTTATGCCCATTAAAACAATTTTGAATGATTTTCTCTTCCCGTATTTTGTAAAACTATTTCCATAGTAACTGAAATCTCCTTGCATATATAGTATGTACATATTCATTTAAAGGAAAGACCACATTCCCTCATGTCCTTTTTGAGCAGCATTTCATTTCTACTCTAGTCTGTTTCTTGTCAAAAGTGCATACGTATTAGCACTTCAGGTATTATTTTATTTTCTTGTGAAATATAGAGAGCCTTTTGGCTGAACTTTCTAGATGGAAAAAAAAATTTATATCACATTTCTGAACTTACATGTATTTTCAAAGTAAGAACATATTTTTTCATTCTAAGTGGGTTTTTTTTTTTTTTTTTTTTTGTTTTTTCTTAATCTATGAGGCTCAGAAGAATAGAAAATTCCGGTATACTTACATATCTCCCAGCAAGAGGAAATAAATTCAGACTATTGCTATCAAATCATGTTTCTTTAGGCCAAGCATAAAATTCACTCTATGCCTTTGCACCTTTTAGTTTGCTCTTGCAATCTCAGTGCAAATGCTACCAAATTGAAATGTTAGAGTTTTCCCATCTTTTGGGAATTTCCCACTGGTTTTTGTAGATAGAGACAAGAAAACTACTTAAGGATTATTTTCACAAATTTTGAAACCCTGTTAGAATAAATTTGCTTCTTTTTTTTTTTTTTTCCCCCCCCAGAAAATTGGGTAGAGCTAGAAAGCTTTCCTGCGTTTGCAAAACTTTCATACCTCATCTTTTAGGAGGAATATGAAGAAATTTTCTGCCTCTCTTTGGTGCCTTCTACCTGGCCAGTTTATCTCTCTCTCTCTCACTTTGCTGTCCATTGTATAGGCTCATATCTTGCCAAATTTTCAGCCATTCTCAACAGCGTCACTGTAATCCGTTATACCTTAGTACTGAAATTAAGGTACATTTCATTATTGAAGATTTAATGGAACCTTTCACCTTACTCTGTAATTAAGATGCTTTATACTGTGTAATGCAGTTCTGGTGGTTTCTCTAGGAGAAACTGAGCTGAGGCACTCAGGAAAAAGAATGGGATATAAATATATATAATAATATGGTCTAGTGGTTAAGGGCGCGGCGCTGTCACCACCGAGACCCGGGTTCGATTCCCGGTCAGGGCCACTCCCGGGCAGGTGGAGCTCGTTAGCCCTTAAAGGCAACCCACCTACGTCCTAAGGACCTCGCTGCCACCGTCCAAGCTCGCTTGGCCCCGGCAGATGAACCTTAGGATTAAAGGGTGGGCTCAGTTCCGCGCACACTGTGTCTCACCTAAAAAATCCAACGTGCAGGCTGGAAGGTGTAAAGACCTTCCCCGGATCTTCGCTCGTAAAGACTGGCCATTATAGAATAGCTAACACCCTAGTAATGTCTCTACATTTCATTCACAATGTCTCTAGATTTTAAAGCCAACAGTTTCTAAATAGCTTTCTAACTAAAACTTAAGTTTCAAGCCAAGTACTGAGGGGTCATCAGAAAAGATTATGATTCATGACATCCTTTGGTGCTTGCTTTCAGGCTAAAAGCCAGTGTTTCCTTGGGTCATGAATCAGTCTTGCTGCATATATCGCATACAAAGAGCAACATTGTGTAACTGCAAACAGCTAGGATCTTTCAATGAAAGTAAATTGAAAGTGTGAAAGTAAATGAGACAGAACAAGTAATTCAACCCCTGAAGGAAGCATTTTTACTGGCCTTAGTTATGATAGTTGTTGAAGCTAATATAAAGCAAAATGCTACATGTTTTAATTAAGTCTGTTATGTGGAGTAGTTCTATTTGTTGTTGTTCATTTGGGTTCTTTTCATCTTTTTAGATGGAAACTCGGAAACGTCTGGCAAAAATTGTTCTAGTTTTTGTCGGCTTCTTTGCTATCTGCTGGTTTCCTAACCATGTGCTGTACATGTACCGATCTTTTCATTACAATAAGATTGATCCATCAACAGGACATATGGTTGTTACCTTAGTGGCCCGAGTGCTAAGCTTCTGCAACTCTTGTGTCAACCCATTTGCACTGTATTTTCTCAGTGAGAGTTTCAGAAGGCATTTCAACAACCAGCTTTGCTGCAGGAAGAAAGCTCAGCAAGAGAGATCTGCCAGCTACTTGCGTAACTCTTCTGCCATTCAAATGACTTCCCTGAAAAGCAATACCAGGAACACAGTAACTACCATGACACAACTGAATGGGCACAACTTGAAACAAGAAATGTCACTATGATTTAATATGTGTGATTTTTGACTGTGAAACAAATTTGAACATTTTATTTGCAGTTTGTAACTCACTTTTGGCTCTTGTGATTAGATGCTCTGAGTACTCAGAATAGAGGATCTCTCAAAGTCCAGCCAGTGTGAAGTTCTCTCACACCTAGTCTGACTCTTACATAGAAGTGAACAGTACATTTTATTGAGAAACCAAAACTGACTGGTGTTACACTGTACTTTAAAGGAGATGCTAGAATGTGTTTAACCTAAAGGAAAGCAGAGTATCTGATATAATATTGCTTTAAGAAGTATAGATTTTCTGATCTGAACAATATGTATTTTCAACTGAATATTGATACTCATGTTTTACTCTGATAGATTTTGCATTATTTTAGCTGTATGGTATGTACAAACATTGCTCATTAAGACTGTTAGGCATTTTGGACTCAATTAAAGGGCTGTTGCAACACATAAATTCTAGTTTCAGATAAAAAAATATTCAAGTATTGAGCGCCAGGTCTTTACCTCATTTAAATCCACTTTGTTTGTTCACTTTGGTAGACATGCATGATGAGATATTACTCTTTGAGTGTTCTGTTTGCTGCTGAGGTCAGAAGTTTATCTGCTAAAATTTCATTCTTTTCATGGTTAACATATCAAATGGAAAATGTGTGCAACATGCAGGTTTTCTATAACTCAGTGTCTGAAAGCTTATTTCTCTGTCTGTTAAAGCTGTGGCACCACTGGTTTAGAGTTTCTACATGCTAGATATTTGCTGCTAACTGATGTTCATATCAGTACAGAGCTAAGAAGGATGCTAAGCGTACTGGGAGGGTTGAACATTGAACAAGATAAAATTCGGAGTGGCTACTTCAGAGAGGTTCCGTGGCAAGTCTTCATACAGCTCAGAACAGTCTCAGAGTGCAGAACCCAGATTAATACCAGACAAAACCAAACTGAAGGATGCCCTGCAGGGGCGCACTCAACATACTCTGATTACTAATGATCATCCAGACCATGGGGCCAGACAAGTCATAATCTGAAACAACCCCCAACTAATCAAACATGGGGAGCTGGCATGAGTAGCTGGCATTGGTTGATCAGTACCAGCTGTTTACTTTCTGTGTTTAGAGCACATGTCTTATGAGGAGTTTCTGAAAGAGCTGGGGTTGTGTAGTCTGGAGAAAAGGAGGCTCAGGGGGACCTTGTCAGTCTCTACAGCTCCCTTAAAGGAGGCTGAAGCCACGTGGGGGTGAGCCTCTTCTTCCAATTAATAAGTGACAAGCTGAGAGGAAATGGCTTCAAGTTGCGTCAGGGAAGGTTTAGATTGGATATTAGGAAAAAATTTTTCACTGAAAGGGTGGTCAGGCATATTTGAATAGGCTACCTAGGTAAGTACTGGAATCACCATCCCTGGAAATGTTGAAAAACTGTGTGTATGTATTAGTTGGGGATATGGTTTAGTGGTGAACATGGTGGTGCTAGGATAATGGTTGAATTTGATGATCCTAGAGGTCCTTTCCAATTTTAATTACCTTGTGATTCTGTTTTATGCTATGAGATCTACTCCTCATGCACACACCATACCAGTCTCAACAAGGCTCCAGTACTGTTGAAAATCTGGCACTTTTTCTTTTCCTGAAGGCCCATATGCATAAATAGTCAATGCACTTCTGCGATAGTTTTGATCTAGATCTGAAAATCCTATGTGATCTGCCTAAAAGGAGGATTTTCAAACGTTTTCTGTTAGTCATCCCAGTGCCATGGACAGCATACATCTTTGTCATCATTCCTAGGAGGACGTTTTCAAGGTACATGATCAGTGCAGACCTGGGATTAAAACAACTGGGAATGCTGTGTGAGGCTCTAGTACCAATTACCATCATGTCCAGAACAAATTTGCTAGGAAGATTTACTGCTCTTTTTTCAGTCACAGATCTATGGTAGGGATACCTCATACAAAGCTTGCAAAACTGCCCTTTAGATCTCAAGAAGGCAAGAAGTTCAGCTCTAAAATAATATATTTTTAAAAATGTTTGTTAATCGCTTCACATACCAACACAGGTAGTCAACTAGGCACAAAGACTGAAACCTATTGCTGCTACTCATACAAGGCTGTTCATATAAAAGCTTCTGAGGGGAGTCAGAGCTGATTTCCCCCTTACACAGCTGCACAGTGTCAGATGAATAATTATTCCCAAGCCAGGTGAGAGGCTAGCTGGGGCAGGGTTTGTTTCGTGTCTAAGCTTCAGAAAGAAAATGCTCACAGTGTCCTTCTTAGGAGAAAGGGTAATAATGGCAGATAAGGGCACCCTGTGAAATTATTTTGTTATGGCCAGTTCATGAGCCAAACTTACTTTTAAATACCTTTTTCTTTGAAATTGGATGGAACTGCTCCAGCACAGATCTCTCTGTCACAACACTGTATCCTGTACTTCTGCAGTGACTTGTCTAAGGTGAACACTAGAAAGTACACCAGAAATTAAGATTGGATTTCAGAATTAGTTTCTAGCCTTATAATTTCAAAAGCTGAAGTGCTAATGCACTGTAGCAGCTCATTGTTCTTTTTGTCCTTATTTATGCACTTGCACTTATTTAGTTCTGTTTGTAACTGTGGAACCATCAGAAGTTCAAAATGTGTTTCTCAATTCCCCCATCTTCAAGACTAGTTATACCCCTTTTTTAATTTTTAAAGCAGCAAGAAGTTAAATTGATGTAATCTGCACATAGTTTAGCCAATTATCTGAGAAAACATGAGCCAGCAGTGTGCCCGACTGGCCAAGAAGGCCAATGGCATCTTGGCCTGTATCAGGAATAGTGTGGCAAACAGGTCCAGGGAAGTGATTTTTCCCCTGTACTCAGTGCTGGTGAGGCCACACCTGGAGTGCTGTGTCCAGTTCTGGGCCCCTCAGTTCAGGAAGGATATTGAGGTGCTGGAGCAGGTCCAGAGAAGAGCAACCAGGCTGGTGAAGGGACTTGAACACAAGTCCTATGAGGAGAGGCTGAGGGAGCTGGGGTTGTTTTGCCTGGAGAAGAGAAGGCTCAGGGGAGACTTCATCACTCTCTACAACTCCCTGAGAGGAGGTTGTAGCCAGGTGGGGGTTGGTCTCTTCTCCCAGGCAGCTATCAGTAAGATAAGAGGGCATGGTCTTAAGCTCTGTCAGAGAAGGTTTAGGTAGGATATTAGGAAGAAATTCTTTACAGAGAGGGTAATAAGGCATTGGAATGGGCTGCCCAGGGAGGTGGTGGATTCTCCCTCCCTGGAGGTTTTTAAGATGAGGCTGGATGTGGCACTTAGTGCCATGGTCTGGTAATGACGGTGGTAGTGGATCAAGGGTTGGACTTGATGATCTCAGGGGTCCTTTCCAACCCATCTGATTCTCTGATTCTCTGATTCTATGAAAAAAATCTCCAGTTACCACTCAACAGGGAAAGTAATAGATTGAAGTTCTTAATGTCATCCAGCATGGTCCAGTTAGATGGACCTATAGGGTGATGTAATGTAGTTAAAGTTGTGTGCAGCATTCAAATGAGAAAACTTATGAAGTTCAGTATGGATCAGCTCCATACTACCTGCCCTAGCAGATTGCAGTTGCCCTGTGGCTTCAGTGACTCCTTGGAAGGCTTTCCACAAAGGAGTCAATTGATTCAAACTTGTAAATCTATGTGTAATGGTTTAAGAAACTGTCATCCTGTCATGGTTTAGGAATGGTATTCCATGATCTAGTGTTCCCAAAGTTTTGGATTCTGCACTCAGTCTCAAATCCTTTTTACTCACAAATATTTTATACCTGCAAAACACGAAAACTTAATCTTCCTTCGTCAATTCTCATTGCTGATCACTGACTGCAACCAAGTTTCCCATTTACTTTTGCTGGTTTTTTTTCTGGTTCTCAGCTCCTTATTTTGTTTGGCAATCATTCTACACTGCATAGCACTTCACAGGACTTCTAAATCCATTGTGTTATTTACTTCCTAAATACATTTGTCTGATGTGGACATTACCAGATGATACAGGTGCCCTACCGGAAAAATAATAATCTAATTTGTAGTAGATTCAATGCTTGTGTTTGATGTGTACTCTTCACTCAGCATCTTAAAGTGCTGTGTGTGTTATGGACAGCATGAGCCAGCTCTCTGGCAGAACTGCAAGCTACATTATGTTCCTTTTTGTTGCGAAAGGAAGATGTTCCGAAAAGACTATAACTTCTTCTTGTCAGGAAATCAACACGATTTTGGTTCATTATTTCCCAGGCCTAATACTCAAAGTCTGTTTTGAGTAAGTAACCTAAACTGTATATAACTCCTCTCAAATTCTTGTAGCATGGTGTGCCGGAATCGGTTAATCTGTCTGGAGCTTTGCTAGGTGTATTGCTAGCCCAATATGCACATTTTGGAAGTGTCTGTTACTGTGTTTCTGTACATATTGTTTACAAGTACAGCTGTATATATAAAGCTATTTTCAGAGAGCACTGCTTGTTAACAATTAAAATTATTGTAGAACACATTTTATGAAGTATTTTCTTCTAACTGTAGTCAAAGAAACAAAGGAAACCTATAAATGAGATCATGTCATCTTTTCACATACTGCATTGAGATCTGTGCTAAAACAGTTGTTAAAATACCACCTGATAATTTTTTTCTGATATGAAAACTTTCTTATTTCAGAAACATCAGTTCTTTTCTGTCTTCCTCTCATAAATTTTGAGATGGTTTCTTTCAAACATATTTTTGCAACAATTAAGAAAACTACCATCCCTTCTCAGTGTTTGAAAAATGAGGGAATAGAGGTAATTACTATTTCCTCACTGTAAGACTTTTATTTTCCTCTAGACTAGAGCTAGTACAAAATAAGTCTGATAGCATCTTGTCACTCCACCCTGTCAGTCATCTAAGCATTACATACACTGGTGAATTCTGAAATGTCAGTATGGTTAAATTCTGAGACACCACATATGATGTGATTATTATCTTCAACAAAACCACTTCAGTTACAATATGGAACAAATCTTTGCAACACACCTACCCCATAAATATTTTTCTTAGCTCAGTCAAATAGGTTCACAGAAATTATGTTCCAGGAGTTAGCAGGGCTGATTGAGAAGTCTAGGTTCAAAGGGGGAAGAGGGTAAGACCAGGCTCACTACAGATGAGCCTAGAGCTGGCATACCTGGGATGGAGCCAAAACTATTAGCCCATTTGAAGTGCATCTACATCAATGCACTTCATATGGCCAGCAAGCAGGAGGAGCTGGAAACCATTGTACAGCAGGAAAGTTATGATGTAGTCGCTATCATAGAAACGTGATGGGATGACTCTTACAACTAGACTGCTACAATGAATAGTTATAAGCTCCTTAGAAGAGACAAGCAAAGCAGGAGAGGTGGTGGAGTAGCATTGTACATTGGAAAGTGTTTTGATTGTTGAAATTGACGATGATCAAGTTGACAAGGTTGGGTGCCTGTGGGTAAAGGTCAGCAGAGCAGACATTAGGGTGGGAATCTGTTACAGACCACCCAACCAGGACAAACTGGCTGATGAGGCATTGTACAAGTGGCTGGCAAAAGTCTCATGCTTGCTGACCCTTGTACTCATGGGTGACTTCAACTTGCTGGCTGTCTGCTGGAAATACAGTGCAGCAGAGAGGAAGCAGGTCAGGAGGTTCCTGGAGTGTGTGGAAGAAAAATTCCTAACATAACTGGTAAATAAGCTTTCCAGAGGAAGTACCCTAGTATACCTGTTTTTTCTGAGCAATGAAGGACTGGTGGGTGATGTGGTGATTAGTGGCCATCTTGGGCATAGTGACCAGGAAATGTTAGAGTTTTCAATACTGGGTGCAGTGAGGAAGAGCACCAGCAGAACTTCCACCTTGAATCTCCAGCAAGCAGACTTCAGCCTGTTTAGAACATTCATTGGTAAAGTCTCTTGGGAGTCAGTTCTGAAGGGCAAAGGAATCCAGGAGTGCTGGATGTGTCTTCAGGGCAAAAGACTGGCCTGCTTAAACAGAGAACTTAGTTTGGAATTTAGGGAAAAAAAGACAATCTATCATCTCTGGAAGGAGGGTCAAGTAACTTGTGAGGACTACAAGGATGATGCAAGGTCATGTATGGAGAAGATGAGAAGGGCCAAAGCCCAACTAGAACTTGATTTTGCTGCTACAGCTAAAGACAACAAAAAGAGTTTCTATAAATACATTGGCAGCAAAAGTAGGGTCAAGGAGTGTCTCCATAATCTGTCAAATGCTGAGACTAGTGCAGTGTCAGGGAATGAGGAAAAGGTAGAGGTACTTAATGCCTTCTTTGCCTTAATCTTCAATATCAAGACTCGTCCTCAGGATACCAAGCTCCCAGAGCTGGAATTTGGTGATGGGGAGATGAGTGAAGCCCCCATAATCCAGGAGGAGATGGTTAGTGACCTGCTATGCTAATTAGACACTCACAAGTCTGTGGGCCCTGATGGTATCCACCCCTGAGTAATGAAGGAACTGGTGAAAGAACTTGCCAAACCACTATCTGACTGGAAATTAGCAAAGACAATGCCCATCTACAAGAAGGGTTTGAAGGATGATCTGGGGAACTACAGGCCTGTCAGCCTGACCTTAATTCTGGGAAAGGTTATGGAATAATTCATCCTGAGTGCTGATACACAGCATATGCAGGCAAGCAGGGGATCAATGCCAGTCAACATGGATTTGTGAAAGGCAGGTCCTGTTTGACCAACCTGAGCTCCTTTTATGACAAAATGACCTACTTAGTAGATGAGGAAAAGACTCTGAATGTCATCTATCTAAACTTCAGTAAAGTGTTTGATACTGTCTCCCACAGCATCCTAGAAAAACTGTCTGCTCATGGCTTGGTTGGGTGGACTCTCTAAAGGGTAGAAAACTGAATGGGTGGCTGAGCCCAGAGAGTTATGGTGAATGGAGCTAAATCTAGTTGGCAACCAGTCTCTAGTGGTGTTCCCTAAGGCTCGATTTTGGGGCTGGTCCTGTTTAACATCTGTATTGATGACATGGCCATGGGAATTGAGTGCACCCTCAGTAAATTTGTGGATGACACTAAGTTGAGTGGGAGTAGGTAGAAAGGCTCTGCAGCGAGACTTGGACAGACTCGATTAAGGGCTTAGCACAATTGCATGAGGCCTAAAAGGCGAAGTGCTGGGTCCTGTGCTTGGGTCGCAGCAACCCCATGCAGCACTACAGGTGCTACAGTCACTGTAGGAGTGACTTGAGAACTGTTGAGGAGAAAGGGACCTGGGAATGCTGGTTGACAGCCAGCTGAACATGAGCCAGCAGTGTGCACAGGTGACCAAAATGGCCAGTGACATCTTAGCCAATATCAAGAATAGTATAGCCAGAAGGATTAGGGGAAGTGATCATCCCAACCTGTATCTGGCATTGGTGAGGCCACACCTCGAGTGCTGCATTCAGTTTCGGGCCCCTCCCTTAAAAAAGGACATTGAGGTGCTGGAGTGTGTCCAGAAAAGGGTAATGTGATGGGTTGACCTTGGCTGGACACCAGGTGCTCACCCAGCCATTCTATCACTCCCCTTCCCAGCTGGACAGGGGAGAGAGTAAGATTGAAACAACCCGTGGTGTGGGATAAGGCAGTTTAATTAAAGCAGGCAGATCTGTTTTTGATTTCTGATTTGATTTAGACAAGTCTATTTCACTTTTGACATGTTGCTTTTATTTCTAGTTGTTTCTGACTTATTTCTGACTCCCTATTCTACTCTACCTTGGTGGCTGTCAAGAATGCAAACAAATTCTTTTTGCTTTCAATGTATATACATAAATGACTTTAATGGCCTAAGTCAAAAGCAAAATGGCAATATACTGGAGCCAAAAATAATGTCATTGCCTTTGTTTGTTTGTTTCTATCTTTCTTTCTTTCTATCTTTCTTTCTTTCTTTCTTTCTATCTTTCTTGATACTATAACCTTTTAGGAGGCATAGCTGGGAGTGTTACATGTATGATGTAAATTAAAGAAGCTTGGATTTTGTAATTCAGCATGGTGCAGACAGAAAATTTCTGTAGCATTGATTTGGAACAGAAAAGGTATAATATGTGGCCATTCTTAAGTAATCTGGTGAACTGTTTTTAATCTGTCAAGAGGTGGATTTTGTTACTTCATTGTTTAAATAAATGGAGTCATTTGTGAGTAAGAAGCTTTGCATCATTGCCATCTCCACACTCTGTTGATTTACCTTGTAGTGGATGTTTGACTCAGAAAAGATACTTCTATTGAGTGAACACAAGGAGATATTAATGCTGCCTTTCTCAAGGGGAGGATGGTACCACAGCTTATCTTAGGTTTGAACTCTTCAGGGTTGTCAGATGCTTCATGAACCATTCTGTATTACTGCTGCCCAGTGCCTGTGGACTGCATTTCTTATGCATCTCCAATAGCCTACCTACCTCCAGCTGACCCACTGTGCATAGTGCAAATGCACCTTGCTGCCTTAGCTTCCATAAAGCTGGGGGGTCCCATCTACATGGCATCTAAGACAAGATGTCCTTGCTGACATTAGCAATTTTGCAAGACCTTGCTCTATACCAGACAGCCCCTCCTGTATTTGTACCACATAACTTCTTATCTGCCTGTCACATAAGGTCCTTCTAATTTCAGTTCTCTCAAAATCTTCTCATTGCATGGCCAAGGCATGTAGCAGCCTAACAGTAGCTGGGAACTGGAAAAGCAGAGCAGGAATAGGATGAAAAGATGTTTTCAGCTATACCTTATTCTTCCTTGTCCTGTCCCTATATGCATAATGGGAAAACAGCTCCACCACAGGTGAATGAATACCTTTGGAAAGCTATATGCGCTTGATGTAGCTGACTGTGCTCCATCTGAACTATTAATAAAATGTCAGATATATTTTAGACATAAAAGACAAGGGTAGAGCCCGTTGTGTCTTCTCTCTATGCATTGTGACTGTCACTCTGCTCACTACAAACCCCAGACATGCATGAAACCTCTAAGCACAACCCAAGATTTGTCTTCTTTTGCTGAAAGTCTGTGCAGCACCTGGCCTGGACAACTCACTGTTGCCTGTGTAGCATGACTGTTGTGGTGGGAGCACCATATTCCCAGTAACATGTACTGCTTCTTGGCCTTTTTGCTCTGCAGAGCTGTGCACAGCCCTTTGCCCAGGCTGAGCTGAGAACTGAATTCCACCCTTAAGTAATGCATAGCTTTGAACGGTGTGTGTTTTAAAAAATGTGAAAGTCTTGAGGTATACTTGAAACTAAGGGTTCTAAGGCACTGAAATAGAATCAGTATTATCTAAAACAACTGCTCGTTCTAAAATTGCAAAGTACCCTTACCTTTAAGCATCCCAATGTCTGAAACTAAATGTTGCCAAGCCTTCATCAGCTTTGCTTTTCTGAGGGCAGAGTTACATAATATCTGTAACAGCGCACACATTTCATATCAGAAAAGCAAGCACAGCATAGCTTTTAGCAGGCTTATGAACCTACAGCAGCATCTCCAATCTGATTCTCAGACTGCAGAGAATGAAGCTGTCAGCAGCAGGGGAGGTATCTGTCTGGAGGGGAGAATGCCAGAACGGACAATATTATAGCTTTTACTGCACACAAGCCTCATTTAAGTGCTTCTCCCATGCCTA